GGGTGTTGGGTGAGAGCCTGACAGGGAACCTGGCTTGGGAAGGCCTGTCCACGGTTTCTGCCAGGCTGCACACCCCAAGAGGGCAGAGGCTGGTCTTACTCATCTCTATCCCCATAGCACCCAGCACAGCCAGGCCCAGAGGAAGCACCCAAAAAGTGACTCACTGAATGATCATAGATCATCAAACTGTAGGACAGGGGACTCCTGGAATTACAGCTGTGAAATAACATGTTTTTATAATGCCCTGCCATGTGTAAAAATGCGTATTAGAGCCTCAAAAATAGCCTTGCAAGACAGGCAGGGAGATCATTCTGTCTGGTGTCCAAACGGGAAAGCCGAGGCGCAAAGAGGGACAGTCATCTATCCAAGGTTACACACCAGGAAGGACCAGGGCCCAGCGCCCTCCCCACCCTGCCCCAGAAGGCTCAGACCTGCTTGCCTTGGCATGGCCAGGGCTGCCTGGGAGGTGAAGGTCCACCCCTCACTCCTCCCTCCCTCATCTCCTGTCCCCCAGGAAGTCCCCCAATCTCAGCCCCTCCCTGTGCTGGGCAGATGGAGAAATACAGCAGATGCTGCCTCATTGAGCATCCCTCATTCCAGCCCCAGCTGAGACTGGCTACCAGTCACCATGACAGCCTGTCCCTGCACTTATAATGGAAACAGGGCCAAGAAAGGAGTCTCTAGAACCCCCAAGCTGGTCTAAACAGAAGACAAAGCCACTCCTCCCCAAGTCTCCACCCCAGAAGTTTGGGAAGCCTCACTGTGGTGGAATAACACTGGACCAGGAGTCCAGAGACAGGATCAAGCCTAACTCGCTGTGTGGCTTCTAGAGAATCACTTTTCCTCAGTTTTCTCATCTGTGAAATGGAACAATGCTGTCTGCCTACTTTAATAGAACTACCAGGAGGACTAAACAAAAGTAGGAGTATAAAAACACAAAATTATAAAGCAAATTTTGCCTTGGAAAATAACAATAAGGCTCCTCTTTACTTCTATCTGGACAGTGAAACTCCAACCCGACCCACCTCCCTTTCCTGCAGAGGGCAAAACATGAGCTAACGTTTTCTGAGACCCTCCAATGCCTTGGGCTAGTGCCTGCTTTACATGCATTATTTCCAAGTGGGCTAAGGTAGATATCATCCCCCCACGACACCCATGAGGAAAGTGAGGCTCAGTAAAGGAAACTGACTTGTCCAAGCTCACCCAGCTCGAAGCAGCTGATCCAGGGTTCAAACCCACTTCCATCTGGCATCCAAGCCCAGGCCCTTTGGACCCACCAGGCTGATTTGAGGAGCCACTCCACACCCCAAAGTCTCAGAGCCTCAGAATCAGCATTCAGGGTGTGGGGACATGTCACATAACACACACTCCATAAAGGCCAGTGACCTTGACATCACAGGCACTGTGCCACCCCGTGGCAGAGCCATCAGCTGGGTGGGGCATGTAAGGAGGATGGCTGGCACAGCTGACCTTGAGCTAATTGGATCAGCCCTGGGCATGGAGCCGCCTATCCAGCTGCCCTGGCAGATGGGTGCTGGAACTGGGCCACCTGCCAAGGCCCAGCCTCCATGTCCAAACCAACCTGGACACCAAACTTCCATTCTGGCCCCCTCCTGCCCTGACTCTGGTGGCTGGCAGTGCCCACACAGATCCAGAAGGCCATGGTGGCAGCTGCTATCCCTCCTCCAGCGGCTGGCACTTCCCCTGATGTGGCCGTATGGCTCCATATGCTCTCAGACAGCTGGAGTGCTGAAACAACTGCCTAAGGACGTCCTCTGCAGAGACCCCAGGCCCCGGCCGCACCACCCACCCCTGCCCAGCGAGCCACAGGCACAGCCAGAAAAACAGAGGCTGCAGTGCCCGCTCCCAACTGGCTTAGTGACCTTGTGCTAGTCACTGCCCTGCTCTAGGCCTCAAGCTCTTTTTCTATCAGATAACACGCTGAACAGCCCTCTATCCCTTCCCTTTGTAGCCCTCTTCCCAGGTTACAAACTCCCACTCAAACTCATTCCAGTTATCCATGGAGACACATAAACGTGTCCACTTTACAGACTCAGAAACTGAGGCAGACCCAAGGCCTCAGGGGCTTACTGAAGTGCACACGGTGGCAGGGCCAGTACTAGAGGCTGCATCTATGACCTCAGGATGCTTGCCACCTCTGTATACCCAGGTGGTGGGACTGATGTATCCTGGGCCCTCTCCCAAATCTGACGACGTAGATCACCCCCGCAGGTCTTCCCCGCCCCCGGACAACCTCTCCCACGATCCCCAGAGGAGCACTGTATGTCGCAAACCTGTGTCCCTCCAGAACGTCAACCCTGCAAGCCCTGAATCTGCAATCAGCCCACACTCCTCAGATGGGCACTGAGGATATTCTGTCCGGTGTCAACCTTCCCCATGCCCCTGAGTGAACTGCGCTGCACACATGTTCTACCCTGACCCAGTGCTTCCCACCTCCATGCCTTTGCCAGCGCCATGCCATCTTCCTAGAAAGCCCCCATTCACATTCACATTCTCTGTTCGCTCATTTAGTCAACAAATATTTGCTAAGCCTCGACCAAGTGCTGGAAAATCTCAGCAGGTTAAGACCCCGCCAGCCCCCTCCTTCTCAAACAGCCCCCCGCCACTCCCCCACTGAGCCTCTCGGTCACCCAGCCCGCTCCGCTCACACCCAGAGGCATGGGTTCAAATCTGCTTCCCCTTTCAGAGGCCATCCGGGGAGGGGCCCGGGTTCATCACTGATATCCCCAGCACTCAGTCCAGGTCTCAAGCAGAAGATACCTCCAAATGTGAAGGGAGGCCAAGTGTAGGATTGCAGGCCGTGGAGAGTAAGAGCCAAGGTGTGGCGCTTGGGAACAAGGGTCTGGGCCCCAGAAGCCCATGGAAGGAACTCTGAGACTGGTCGGGGTGGCCCTCAGCCCCCATAAATATATACCTGAGTGGTCAGGGGCAGTTTTTCCCTCTCAAGTCACCCCAAGGCCCAGCCCACTCAGTAACTTCTTATCACTGGATTGGTTAGAATATTTTTACAACTTAAAACACAAATACAGCAGGGTCAGGACTTGGCTGGGGAGGGAAATAAGGGGGTCGCACTGGGCACTGCCCCCTTCCAGTCAGGAGGTTGGGGGTGGGGGGAAGTGGCTGTTTTCCTAAAGGGGGCAGTCAGTAGGGGCTGGGAGCCGCTGGCTGGAATTTTCACCCCTGACAGAACAGACCAGGGGCCAAAGAAGTGCCCCAATCTCCCCCTCGCCATGGCTTAAGACCCCAAATGAAGGGTTCATCTTGCTGTAGTTGGTTGGGGTGGGGGTGGAGGGACCAGAAGAACTGGAGGCACGGATGACACGGGTGGGGCTGGGCCAGGCATCTTGCCCTGCTCCAGCCACCTGGATGTCAACCAGAGCTTTGGTTAACACCCAGGAGGCAAAAAAAAGTCTGGAACTTAGGGGATCACAGGGGAAGAGGAAGAGGAGCTGAGAGAGAGAGAGGAAAAAAGCAATGGCTTAAGAAAGCCATATCAGCCAATGCCAGCAAGGGAGGAGTGTGGAGAGGCAGAGGGAGGCTGCCCAGGAGGGGAAAGCCAGCAGAGGCTGAGGAGGTCACCGCCAGGACCCAGCAGGCCCCACCGTGAGTGCACGCCCCCCACGGACGGACACGCACCCAGCACCCCACCCCAGCTGCTGCCCCAGAGGCTCCCGCCCAATCTGAGGCCGCACGCAGCGCAGGGTGCCCCACCCCCAGTAGCAACTCCTGGGCAGCAGCTCTTACCTCGAAGGACCTGGGGATGAGTCCAGGCTGCCAGCAGGACTAAGGCGAGTCAGGTAAGCCTGTCTGGGGCTGAGTGGGCCAATAGCCACCAGGATCCCCTCCAATCCCCACCAGTGCATGTTTACATCTCCATGGGGAATGCTTTGGCCCACAAAGGGGCTCTAGGATGGAGAGAGTAGGCTTCTGGGGCCCAAACAGCACAATGCCACAACCCAGCCTAGAGTGCCAGGCTGGGCGGGGCTGATTCTGATCCCCAGGATGATAGTGAACTCTGAGCGGTGCAGAGGATGACAGCAGCCAGACTTCCAAACCATCAAGCAAAGCACAGACAGCCTCTGGCCCCTAATCCAGGAAGCACATATTTAACAGGCTAGGGTCAAAAGGTCCCACAGGTCAGGAGCCTTTGCTCTGCTGCTTCCAGCTGAGAATGGCCACTGGCCATGTCACACGCAGCAGGAGCCCACCTGCCAGCTCAATAAAGAAAGCCTGGGTGCCCTCCATGCCTCACCAAAGAGGATGCCCTCGAAGTAGAAAAGGACTGTCCTGAGACTTAGAAGACGACCTTCATCTCTGCCACAAAATCCTCCTCTGTGAAATGGATAAGAACCTTGCTTGCCCACAGGTCCTGCATTCTCACAAAGTGGCTGAGAGATTGCAGAGGGATAATGGAGGCAGAAGTGAGGTTTAAGCCTGAAAGCTGATATTACCATAGACATTACCATACTCCAGAGACCCAGGTACATACTGACTGGGCTAGCCACCACACCCCTCCACGCAACGTCCAGGTTGAGATCAAGACTTCTAACAGCACAGGTTCACAGCGCGAGTGGCAGGAAAGAAGGCATATGGATGGGGGCTGCTGGGGATCCCGGCAGTACAACCCCCGGGAAGTCCATGCTGGAAGGACTCAGGAGAGACCAGACAAGGCTTCCTAGAGGAATAACCTGCCTTGGAAGCAAGGAGGATGAGGAGCCTGCAGGAGTCCTGACCCTGACCCTTCCTTGGGCCTCTCACTCCAGGAGACTCGGGGTTCTCTCCTTCTCGGGGGCACCATCTTGGACCACAGCTTCCCATCCCGTCTTCCACAGGACTGGATGGGTTGGCAGTTAGGGGTATGGGGAGGTTCCCTCAGGCAGCCAGCCAGGTCCAGAGTGTGGGAGGAGACTCACAAGGGGAGGGGGTACAAAGCACAACCGCAACCTCAATGCAGAGTGAGGCATGCGGGGCACGGCTCCATGCAGGGATGGGACACCAGACCGGCAGACACCCCTTCCCATCCCCGGCCTCTTGTGAACTCTGGAAGGTCTAGGGCTGCTGGGGTGCGCCTTGCGGGGAGTTCCCTTGTTCCAGTCACCGTCTGGAGGAGCAGAAGGCGCGGGGACACGCACGGGCACGTCTCCGCACTCCCTCAACTCAACCTCGGTGTCTTCGGCCTGCCAGCAAAGACAACCTCCGGAGCCCCGGGCCTGGGAGTTGTCGCCGCGCGGTCCCGCCTGACCCTGGCGGGGTCACAGGAGTCCGGCGCCGGGGGTGGCTCCAGCACGGCGCCGCGGGTCTGGGTGGGTGCCCCAGAGACTTGGCGGCTGCGCTACTGGGGAGGCGGAGGCGCACCCCTCCGCCCGCCAGGCAGCGCGGCCCGGGCCGCGCCCCCGCCCCACTCCCTTCGCGTTCTCTTCTCTGCAAAGAAAAGCCGGAGTTGCACCCTGAAAGCGCTTCCGTCCCCACCCATCTCAGCCCGCCGCGCCCCAGGGGCTCCACAAAGTTGCTGCAAGTCGCCGGGTCTGCAGCTGCAGGTGAGGGTGGCGGGGCCGCGCGGCGGGCGGGAGCACGGTCAAGGCTTGGGGTGCCGAGAGCGCCCCCTCCCAGCCCCGCGCGTGCACGCCTCCCACGGACGCGCACCCTGCACCCCACCCTCACCGCTGCCCCCGAGGCTCCCGCCCAATCAGAGGCCGCGCACGCGGCGCCTCCGGCGGGCAGACACCCCGGCTCTTCGGCCTGCGCCTCTGCGGCCCCGGCCCCGCCGCAGCGGCCCGGCCCCGCCACACTCACCGTCCGGGGCGCGCCGTCCGCGCGCGGCTCCGCTCCGAGCCGGCATCCCCCGGCTCGGCTGCCTCCGGTCCCCGCTCCGGCTCCGGTTCCCGCTCCGCAGGGCTCGGCTCCGCGATGGTGGCCGCGGCGGCGAGCGCGGCAGGGAGGGCGTGTGTGTGCGCGAGGGCGCGCGGCGTGTGCGTGTGCGTGTGCGCGGGAGGGTCCGGGCTCCCCTGCGCGCCCCGCTCCTACCTCCTGTTCGCCACGCCGAGATGCCGGCAGAATCCCTACCGCGCGCCTCACCGCCCTGCGCTCACATTCGCGCACACACACGCACACTCGGGCGCGCACTCCCCGGCCGCCGTACACCGGCTCGGCACTCCCGGCTCGCCCTCCTGGGGCGCTCACAAAGGCCCCCCTGCTGGGCGGGCCGGAACCCTCGGAGCCCGGCCCTGCGCCCTTACTGGACCCGCCGGCCTCAGGTGTCCCGCTGCTCCCGGTGGGGACAGCGCGGGTGGCCCCGCTCCCAGCCCGAACCCCGGCCCTGGTGCCTACTCGGGCTTCCAGTACTCCCGCCCGAAACGCGGGCCCCTTCCTCTGCGCTGCCGCCCTTCTTACCCCTTCCAGCCCGTCCTCTCCGGCGCCTCCCCGCCTTCTCCCACCTGCCCAGCCCGGTCCTCCGTCTCCCCGCTGCTCTCCGTCTGTCTCGCCGCCGCCCTCTCCCGCGCCCCCTCCTCCCCACCGCCCTGCGCTGCCTCTCACATTCTCCGCATTACAGCGGGTGCCGCCCGCCGCTCGCGGGGCCCAGGGTTCGAGCGCGCAGTGGGCGGCGAGGGGACCCGCCGCGCCCGGCCCCGCCGCCCCCTCCGCTCTTCGCCGCTCCGCGGCTGCTAGCTCCGGCCTGGCGCTAGGGTGGCGACGTCCCGCGCTAGCCCAGGCTGCCGCTGACAGCGTTCATCTCGCCCGGGCTTAAAGGGATAGCACACCCGGCTCGACCGGCCCCACCCGGGGACGCCGGGGAGGGGGCCTCGCCGCGCAGGAGCAATCCGGGTCGGTGGCGCAGCCGAGGCCGTGCGGGCGACGCCCTGTCCACCGCCGTGGAGCCCGGCCCTCGGGGCTGGAGGTGAGTCAAGGAGAAGGACGGTCGGGAGCTGCCGGGACCACGCCATACAGGGGGCGCTCAGCGGCCAGCCTCGGAGCCGCCAGGCGGTGTGCGGCTGTCGGTGTAGGCTGGGAGCCCTGGACTGCGGGGTCGGGGAGGGGGTCCGGGAAGCTGCTGTCCGAGTCTGAAGTGCAGGTGAAGACAACCGTCATGCAGGAAGGACAGGGCTCATGGGATGGCCTCCCTCTTCTCCTGTGTGACCTTGGACAAATGCGGCCCCTCTCTACACCTCAGTTTACCCCCTTCGAAAGGACATGGCTTCTGTCATCTTTGAGCCCGTGCCCAGCTCTGACACCGTGTTAGATCCCATAGGAGGGGGAGTCCCAAGGTAGACCTTCGGCCCGCAGAGTCCCACCTCCTCCTTGCCTGTGGGAGCTGAGGCCACTGCTGAGACTGCACTCCTTGCCACCCCAGACCCTCACCAGGCCTGGTCTGCCCCTCCCTCCATCCACGACCTTCCTTCTCCTGCCCCATCAGGGGAACCAGGGATGAAGGCAAAGTTGAGTTGCTATAGGGACCTACCTTTTGCATTCCCTCACATCTAAGATCTCCCTGAACCCCCATGACACCCCTGGGAAGTAAAATGCACCCCTAGGCTCCTGGTCACCCTGATCATGGACAAGTCTGGCACACGAGCATTTGGTCTTCAGGGACCCCTCCCTACACTTACTCCCACACCAGATTGTCCCTTGCTCCCCAACCCTGCCAGGGGACGCATTTTGCCCGTCGTCCAGAAAGTTGCTGTCATGTGTCCCATCCCTTGCGTAGATGACTTAGACACATTCCTACCTTCAGAAAATAAGGGAGGTATGATAGAGCTGTGGGGGGGGTGGGGATAGAGGAGATCCTGGAGGAGGTGACGTTGAAGCCTGGTCGTGAAGGATGAGTAAGAACTGGCCAGGGAGAAAGGAACAGAAGGGGCATCCCATGCCAAGAGAAGAACACATGCAAAGACCTGGAAGTGGGAAACGGAGCGATGGGTGTTCTGGAGGGAAGAGAAGCTCTAAATCCTTGATTTGAGGAGTTTCCACTTTGTTCTGGGGCAGCAGCAGAGCAGCTGCTTGGCAAATCTAGGCAAAAGCCCCCACCCTCGCCTTTCAGCCACCACAGGGATATGGCTAAGGACTTCCCAAGTGCGGCAGGTTTTGCCAGAGGCGGCCTCTTCTGTTTCTCTGGTCTAAGCCCAGACCCAACCTCTAGTCCCATATCCACAACCAGACGCAGCACAGCCTCCCCCTGCTGACAGGAGCTGGGAGTAGGAGAAGCCCGGCTCTCTGTAGATGTGATGTGAGTCCAGGAAGGGCCAAGCTCCTGTCCCCACCCATCATGAAGGCGTCCTGTGAAGACCCCACACTTTCGTACCAGGCAGATCCAGTGTTGATTCCAGCCTCAGTGTCCTGTTCTGTACAATGGGAATAAATGTATGTTGCCAGTAAGGTGATTGGTGAAGAATCCATGAGGGATGCTGCTCAGGAATGGCCCAGCACACAGCGGGCATTCAGCGATGGCCTCTTCCCCGTGCCTGAGCTTGGCTTTGTGACCCATTCCAAAGTCCCTATTGCCTCCCCTCTCCCTCCTTCCCTGGCCATTTTCCTTCTGCCTCCCTACTAGACTTCCTGGGGGCCTCAAGGGAGATGAGCTCACGGCTGTTGCCTGCTCTGGCTCAGCATGCCTCCTGAGGAGTCTTCTCAGGGCTTCCAGGTAAGCCCTAGGGAAGCCACATGGAGACAAACAGCCTTTCCCCAGAGTCTCTGACATCCGTGCAGAGCAGCGATCCCAGTCTGCATCCCCAGCCATGTCCCACCATCCAGTTCTCCCGCTGACTTCTGCTGTCCTGGGAGCCACACAGCCTTTGTGTCCATGCTTGGGAATTTCTGCCCAGCTATGCGATGCAAACTGAAATAGGTGGCGTACCTTCTCTGAGCCTTAACTCCCTCCCTAAGAATGGGAGCAAGCTGGTATGTGCCACAGGAGGGATGAACCTAACTCTATGTCATTTATTTTCCCCAGCAAGTCCAGGCCTAGTCCCTCTACCCAAGTTCTGCATGCAGGCAGTCAGGTACAGAGGCCTCTCTGGGATCCCCTTGTGTCCTGCCCTTGTGCTGGTGGCCAGCGGCTGTTGCCACCTCTTCCAGCAGGCTGTACAGAGAGGCATGGCAGGAATAATGACCGGGCCCACTTCACGGCCAGAGCAGTAGCAGCTGGAGGCCTGGGGCGGGGACCAAGGACCAGACCAGTTGGGCAGCTCCAGGAGGGAGCTCCTCTACTAGGGGCTGACGACTGGCTGCTTCCCACCACAGAGGCTGGGTCAGTGACCCCACAATGCCTGTCCAGGGCCACTCTGCTGTTTCCAGCCATCTCTACCAGCCAGTCATGGAGAACGCTGGCTGTGTTCCAGATCTAATCATCAGGCCAGGGCTGAGGGAGTGAGGAGTCCAGCCGGGACTGAGGGAGTGGCCCACGTGGAATTCGAGGAGGCAGTGGGCATTTCCCACCCACTTCCTCTGAAACCCCCGATTTCCCAAGCCAGGCTGAAAAGTAGGTCACCAAGGGTTCAGAGAAATGCCCCGCCCAGCTGAGCTGTCTCTAAACACATCCAGTCTCCTCACCACGTCTCTCCCCACCTGTCCCCGCCACCTATTGGTTTCTACACGACTCTCAAGTCCTTCTGTCCCTAAGCCACCTGCCTCAACCACCCCTCCCCACCCGACCTCCCTCCTCCTCTGCTGAGAGTGCAGCCGGGAGATTTTCATTCACTTGCTCACCCTCACACTTATCTTGGTGTTATCATTTCCATTTCAGAGAAGAAAAAACCAAGGCTTAGGGAGGGGTTTCAGGATCTGAACTGAGAGCCACCATTCTTTATTCTTCCCATGAACGTGCCTATGGGCACACTTCATGCTACACACTGTGCCAGGCATGGGGAATAGCTGGCAGAGGCCTTAGAGTCTAGAGCAAATCGCCATGCAGACAGATGTAAAGTGACAACTGGGACAAGTGCTACGAAGAGCTCTGTGGGGACCTGGTCTGGTCTGAACATTCCTGCAGGATATAACATTCCATGTAGCACCAGAAGGTTGAGTAGACAATGACCCAGAGAACTGGGGACTCCAGGGAGAGGGGATAACATGGGCAAAGTCCCCATGGTGAGACGAAAGAGAGAAAGTCCACGTGGCCAGAGCATGAGGAGAGAGGATTAGAGATGGGGGTGCCCGTGGCACAGGTCAGGACAATAGATTCTAGTGAGACCAGCGAGGAGTTGGCCCTGGAGGTTCAAAGCAGAGGACAGTGCCATCTCTGTTCCTCTGACTATCACCCAGCCCACCGCTCTGCATCCAGCGACCACTTCCACCCTCTTTGCTGATGCCCAGGCCCTGGCACAAGGCAGACGTCCTGAGGATTCTGAGTGGGCAGCATCGTGAGGAAGCAGGAGGACTTGAGCCCACCTCTTGTCAGGTGCTAGCTGGATACTTCTGGGCAGCACCTGCACCTCCCTCTCCCCCAGGACTGTAAAGAATGAACTGGTGGTCCTCTGCTATCTCTAGTTGATCCTGGGCCATAGCCTGTAACAAGGGGTTGGAGAAGACCCGGTGTGATTCTGCCCAGGGCAGATTCCAGGGCCTTGGCACTGCCATGGGCACAGGGACTGCCTGAGGCCTGCTGCTGGCCTGTGCCTTCCCATCCCTCTCTGCCCCCAAGCCCTCCTGCCTCAGTCCATCCTAGACTGCCTGGGCGGGCCCAAGGAAACAGGACTGTGTGGGGTGCTGTCTCCCATCCCCAGTGTTCCCTCGAAGGTTCAGAAAGCAGCTGCTCCCTCCCAGGCGACACTGCACTGTGCAGTCTGTGTGAGGGACTTCTTCTCTTGTGTGAGTTGCAGTTTCTGCTTGGGAGGCTGCCTTACCTTGTTAGGGGACCTGCCTAAGGAAGCAGGAATGGCCCTGCAGGAGCTGTCCCCAGGTCAGCATAGGGTCCTGAGCTCATGGAGCAGGGGCCAGGCCAGCTTGTTGAGAGGGCCCAGGTCGATCCCCAGTCTGCCACATCAGCTTTTTCTATACTAATCACTCCTACCTGAAACGTGGGGAGTGTTTTGCTGTCCACAAGTCTAATTGCACGTGTCTTCTCACGGAAGGCTCCCTACAGCCCAGGGAAGCAGGAGCAGGGATTATCTGCATTGTACAGATAAAGAAACCAAGGCTCAGGGTTATGGCCATCTGGATCCTGGAGCCCTGCAGTCCAGCACGGTCACAAAACAGGGCCCCAGGAAAGGGTGGTGGGGGAGGCAGCAGGGCAGTGGGAGCTGTGGGTGTTGGGGATCTGGGCAGAGAGTGGAACCTGCCTGTTACTGAGAGATGGGACTGGACTTGCACTTTGAGAGGCTGGGGAGTGGAAGTGGGGGTGGTGCATGGGAATTTGGGAACCTGGGAATTTAGGGAACTGACTGGCCATGCAGTTCCCACTCACCAAGGGTGGGCCCTGTACCAGGCCCACAGAGTCTATCCTCAGGGAACACATAGGCTGTGGGCAGACAGACAGGTACTTGGATAGCCTGTCTGGATGCGCACAGGGGAAGGCCAAGTTTCCAAGTTCTGGAGTGGGCACTGTGTTGAGGTGTAGGCTGGAAGTCAGTACGGTCACAGAGCCGAGAGTCAGGAGCCCATGGAGCCTGGGCCTGAAGAATAGAGGGCCTGTGATGCATCTATGCAGGCATCAGTGGAATCTGGCTCTTTCTGAGACGCAAGAGGGGCCGGTTCACTGGGCAAGGGAAAAGGGCCTGGGGCACGGGGAGTACCCTCGGAGAGGAGGCATGTCCCCTCTGAGTCCTCAGCTCTCACCAGCCCAGGCCTGGCCTGCGGCAGGGAGTCAGGGAGCATGTGCTGGCCACATGGATGTGTTCGAATGCAAGAAAGAAGGGAGAGAGGGAGGAAGGGAGGAGGGACCAGCATGAGCACAGACAGAAACCTATGAAAGTGTCTCCACTGTTGTGGGAGGAGAGGTTGGTGAGCGGGCTGGGGCCAGAGGGGACCCCCAGGCCTTTTCAGCAGAGTAACTGTTTCCTGTGAGCTAACCCCTGTCAGACTTCACAAACTGGTTCCAGGGAGCCCTCACCTAGACATACTGTGAGCAGTCGCTGGACGCAGCTGCCCTGAAAGGGCAGGAGGGCTGCAGTCTGAAGGGGCATCTGGGCAGTGCCCTCCTCCCCTGCTGCTGGGGTACCATGGCTGACAGGCCCTAGGTGAGTACCCTCCCCCTGGCGAGGAGGCGGAAGAGAGAGCCTCCTTGCCGAAGCCTTATTCTTCCAGGGACAGCTGCATCCAATGACTGCTCCAAGCAGGGGATAAAGGCTGTACCTCTTGTCCCATCTCAGGACACCCCTGCAGAGACAGCTTGGATCCAGAGCTCCTCACAGAGTCTGCCTTGTGAAGACATCATGGCCCAGCTCCCCCACCCCATGCCTGCTTCCACGTGGATCTCCCTCAGAGTCTGCTTCCTTAGGGAGCCAGCCTGCCCGCACTGGCGGTATCATCCTCGTTTACCCATGAGGGAACTGAGGCACACAGGTGTTAACTCTCCATTGTGCCCAAGGTTGCCCAGCTGATAACCAGCAGGTCAGGGCCAGGCTGGGGAAGGAGGATATCAGGTCCCTGTGCTAACTGGAGGTAGATGGGAGAGGTCAGTCCCTAGGGAAGGGTGGCCCAGCCCACAGGCCAGCACTGGAACTCACAGGGACCTCTTCCATTTGCCCCCTCTCTGCATTCCACAGACAGAGAAACAAGTCAGAGAAGCAACAAGACTTGCCCAGGCTCATGATGTCAGTTAGTGATAGCCCCAGGATATTCTCTAGAGTTCTGCCTCCCGGCCCAGCGTAGGTGTTACCTTCGGAGCAGAGTGAGTCACTTCCTGCCTGTCCCCCTTTCCAAGCGCTGCACAGGGTCTCAGGGTCATGAGTCTGGCTGGACTGACCCTTATCCCACTTCCCAAGGCTGGAATGAGGTGCCTGTGGTTCCCCAGGTGCTTCACAGAGACCTCTGCAGCAACTGGAGCTGTCCAGCCCTGGCATAAGGGTGGGATGTACTGGGCCGGGTGGGCAGGCAGGCGTCTGACTGGTACAGTGGAGCAAACAGACGGGAAGGAAATCAATTTGAGTGTTTGATTAATTTTAATTTTTAATTTGCAAGGAGAGGAACGCACCCCATTTGACACTGCACACTTGTTGTGAGCTGCTGGCATTCACCATGGCTGCCACCGCTGCAGTCTGGCATGCCCAGCGGCTCCCTGCCCTTCTGTCAGGTGAGCCCATCCCCTGGATGGCAGACTGAGCTTCTGCAAATCTGGGAGAATGGGTCCCTTGCAGGGGCCTCCACCCCTTCTTCCTAGGAGAAAAGTCCCCTCTGCGTGAGATGAGTGGGGCCAAAGATGTGCTTTCTTGGAGAGGAGCCTGGCCAGGCAATGTCTATGCAGAAGTCAGGGTGTGAATGGGCTCTCAGACGTGGCAGCAAGGCAGTTTCCGGGGCAGGGGAGGCTGAGCGCACCTGCCTTGCAGGTGCTGAGTAGTTACCCAGCCTGCCTGCATTCGTGGGTGACCCTACACGTAGGGTCAGATCTGTCCCAGAACTGGAACACTCCTCTCTCTGTGTCCCACCACTTGGAGAGTCAGAGCTCTGCTGTCTCTTGGTTTATCTGGAACTTGACTGTGCCTGGGCTGGGGAAAGTTGGTGTGAACTGGGAGAGACTAAATCTTCTGCTCGACTCTGTGGTTCCTCTCCCACTGCCAGGCCCCTATCCCTGAGAGCAGTGTCTTAGGAGGTTGAGAGCAGACGCTCTGGAATGAGGCGGCCTGGCTGGAGCCGTGGCCCTGCCACTTATTAGCTGTGTGACCCTGGGGAAGCCACATAATTGTGTTGGGTGTAGTCTTCAGGCGTCCTTCCAACTGTTCTCCAGGACTCACATGCTCTTGGTATCTTCAAAACACGAGATCCAGTGGCCTCCTCCAGGAAGCCTTCTGTGATAAAGCCTCCTTTTTTTCCACCTCTACTATTTTCAGCTCAGAACGTGAACTCTCTCTGACCCCTTCTTGGCCCTCACTCGTCTGACTTTGTTCACCTCACCCTCTGCATAGAGTGTGTGCCAGAGACAGCATGGCCTTTGAAGCAGGCATCCCTGGTTCAAATCCCAGCTCCACTCCATGCTGGCTGCCTAGGCCCATCCCTTGAGCACCTCAAATGCAGTGGATCCAAAACTGAACTTACCATCCCTCCCCTTTTTCATCACAGTAAACAACACCCACACTTACCAGTTGCTCACGCCAGAGAGTTAGGAGCCATCTGAGACTCTCCCTCTCTCCTGCCTCATTCCCTGCATCCTATTCTGTCCCTGTGCTTGGCTACATACCCCCTGATGGGGCAGACAGTGGGGAGGATGGGAATTCTCTCTTTACTGCCTTGCATGGAAGGGCTGAAGGAACAGCCAGTTCTCTTGTTCCCACTTCACACATGAGGACACTGAGGCTCAAAGAGGGTCAGTACCTGCCTTGGGCCTGATGGTGAGTTGTTCACAGCAGAGCTGGACTAAGAAGCCAGATCTCCTGTGCAACCCAGGTGGGCATCCTGGTCAAGGCCAGGCCTTGTGACAGTGGCAGGAGACCTGATTTCCTGAGCCTCTGGCCCACTTCCCCCTACACCCCAGGCCCACAGAGTTTGCAGGGGAGGAATGAGGGAGTGGGGTTATGCTCAAGTTCCTGGGCAGAATGAATGATCTACCAGTGAGAGTTCATGAAACCAGATAGCGTGGTATCCAGAACCACATCGTCAGGGGTGAACACAGCCTGGCTCCTGGGAGTCCTGCTTGAATGTGGCCACAGGAGCAAGCGAGGAAAAGCCTCAGCCGTGGAGCCAGTGGCCATCCTCTGTGTTCCCCCACCCAGCTCTCACAGTAGCTGAAATTCCACTGCTGCGTCTGGCCCAAGTGCAATTTAATGCATTCTCTGACCAATGGAAGAGCTGGTATGAGGGTGGGAAAGAGGGCAGGAAGAGGAGTCAGTCAGGCTGAGGGTCCCATAGGGCACCCGGGATCACAGGCCTTAGTCCCCTTTGTTGAGCACCTTCTGTGTGCTGGGCACTATGCGAAGTGTTTTGTGAGATTTAGCTCAATTCTCCCTCCCTGCAGCTCCAAGGTTCTCCTCCATGTGGCCCAAGCATCACCCAACCTTTCTGGGTCTCATTTTTCTACTCTGTAAGATAAGAAAGTACAATCATATCTGGCTGACTCACCTGGTGGCCACAAAATTTTTTTTTAAATCTTGAAAATAAAATTAGTAATAATAACCACTTCTAGAGGCTGTTGGATGATTAAACAAGAACATGTATAAAAGCTTCCTACAGTGCTGGTCACAAAGTACATGCTAATTAAACGCTGATTATAAATGAACTAACTCACGTGGTAAGGCCCCACAATCTGCTCAGTTCATGCTTGTCAAATCTGAGCTGGGAGTAAGGTAAATGCTTCGCCACTTGCCCCTGGCATGGGGCAGAGCTGGGGGTAAGGAGGGGTGTCTGGCCAGGGCTAAAATTTCTTTCTGCTTTTGTCCAGAAATCCAGAGCACTGACAAGCAGAGAGGAGTGAGGCCACAAGAAACCGGCCACCAGAGACCAGCCCTCGATCTTGTCTTCTAAAAGCCTTTCCTTCTCAAGTTTGGGTCTGGGCGGGCCAGATCCAAAGCCTTCAAGTCCTGTGGAACTTCCAAGCCTGGAAGTCAAGGCGAAGGAAGAAGAGCCTCACCCATTGGGAGGGAGAGGGGAGTGGCAGAGACCCAAAGTGAGACGGAGACGTCAGCCTAACAACCACATGGCAGCCACCACTAGGAAGCACTCACAGCAAGCACACGTGCTCAGCCTGCACTACATTTCCTCATGTTACTCCTCTAAACAACCACATCAAGGCACTGTCAGACCCATACACGAGGCTAACTGTGACTCGCCAAGGTCGTGGCCTGTAAACCTCAGAGCCAAGATTTAAGCCTGGGTCTTTCTGGCTGTAAAGACTGTGCTAGGAACCACCATGAAAAAGAAGGAAGAAGGGGGAAGATGGTGCCAAAGCTCAGCCTCTCCTCAAGGTCCCAGACTGCCTGGCCCAGGGCAGTGGGGCCTCCAACCTCCCAAACTAATACTTTCTTAGACAGCGTGCAGACACTCTGATGGCTTACAAGCCCGAGGAATATCTGTCTCTTCCCAGCATTTCACCCTGGAGGAAAGACCAGGGGTACCATGGGAAAAAGCTGGCCATGCATCAGAATGGGGGCAGAATGCCTGGGGTAAAAAATGAAACATTTTTACAACAGCAAATACATGCCGACCACTGCTCTAAGTTATACATATATATATATTTATATTTATAAAAACGTAACTTTCATATGAGAATTAAACATATATGTTTAATATATTATGTCCACAATAACATATAGAAGTAAGTACTTTATCATCCCCATTTTATAGATGAGAAAACTGAGGCACACACTGCTTAATTAATGCACCCAAAGTCTCACAGCCGAGAGTGGCAGAGTCCAGGTCTAATTTCCGGCGGTGAGGTTGCACAGGCTGTGACTGTAATAATTCACCATCCTGCCTATCAAAGTAACCAAGGACTGTGCTCAAGCCCAGAGCCATGCAGGATGGTGCTGGGGATAAGATTTGACTTAGAGCTGCTATTTGCTCACAATTTTTAGAATGCAGAAAGTAAGACACCTGTAGCTTTGCAGACTCGGCCCCAGAGCAGCAAGCTGGGCTGCTCCTGCTCTTACTCTTGCTCCAGGAGATATAGCCCAGACAGTAGGCCAAGCCACTGAATGACTTGGGCAAGTCACGTTCCTCCAGGACAGAGGCCCTACGTTCTCATACGATGATTTCTCAGGACCAGCCAGTTGTGTTTTTTTGAGATGGAATTTCACTCTTGTTGAGCAGGCTGGAGTGCAATAGTGCGATCTTGGCTCACTGCAACCTCCACCTCCCGGGTTCAAGCGATTCTCCTGCCTCAGATTCCCCAGTAGCTGGGATTATAGGCATGTACCACCACGACCAGCTAATTTTGTATTTTTAGTAGAGATGGGGTTTTAGTAGAGTTGGTCAGGCTGGTCTCCAACTCCCGACCTTAGGCGATCCGCCGGCCTCAGCCTCCCATTGTGCTGGGATGACAGGCATGAGCCACCGCACTCCTGGCAGAACCAGCCAGTTCTAAAAAACCAGCCTCCTCATCCAACCCGCCTCCTGGAGTCCAAGGCGCTCTCCAAGGTTCTGAAATACCTTTCCTGGCTCTAGGCCAGGGGTCTGGAGACCCTAAAACTGACCTGGTTCTCTAAACACATTCTTTAAATCCAGGCAGGAAAATTGACATTTTGGACATGGACTGTTACCCTAAACACACGGGAAAAGCTGTTTCTTAGATTCCCCCATCCCAGCAAGAAGAGTCCCTTTGCGAAGGTCACAAATTAACGCATCTCCCCCTCCTCCCTGTGGGTGGCTCCGTTCCCATCTGAATTTCTTTAAAAAAATTTTTTTTTGAGACGGAGTTTCGCTGTTGTTACCCAGACTGGAGTGCAATGGCACAGCTCACTGCAACCTCCGCCTCCTGGGTTCAAGCAATTCTCCTGCCTCAGCCTCCCAAATAGCTGGGACTACAGGCGCGCACCACCATGACCAGCTAATTTTTGTATCTTTCGTAGAGACAGGGTTTTCACCATGTTGACCAGGATGGTCTCGATCTCTTGACCTCATGATCCACCCACCTCAGCCTCCCAAAGTGCTGGCATTATAGGTGTGAGCCACCGAGCCCAGCCCCCATCTGAATTTCTATGTAATGGACTTGCCTTAATGAGACGGGCTGGTCTGTAACCTCAGAATTGGGGTGACTGCAGCAGGAGGTGTTTAACCCAGGTAAATGACATCAGCTGTCGTCATCACTACCACAATTGTCATCTGCCTTGGGCAGCCCCCTCTTCTGGGACAGCAACCACAGCCTGTTGTGCACCCCCAGCTTGCAGCTCCAGAAAGCACACCCAGGGAGAAGGCAGTGGTCTTCATCGTCTTCATCACTATCTTAGAAAGGCGGCCAGGTGGCAGTGTTCTGGGAAAAGGGGAAGAGGGCTCTCCCTTTAGAGGCTGCCAGCTGGGACACAGGACCTCGTTAATCAGTCTCCACTGCAGAGTAACAATGCTGGCTCCGCCACTGGATCCAGGGGGTCTTCAACTCCTCATTTCAGAGCCCCCCTTTGTGCTAAAGCCCCCTGCTTTGAAGACCTGAAATATCCTTGCCCCTCTTGTGCTTTCAAGCTAAAACTAGGGGAAGTTCTAGACAGGCTGCATTGAGAGGTTCTGGTGGGGCAGCCCCATGAGGTGTCTCCATGACAAACTGACTATGAGGCCAGCTGTTTTCTCCACACCCCACCTGTCTGGGCCCCCAGGCTCCCCATCCCAGTTAGAAACCAGGCGGCCACATTCTAGCTATTGAAGAAGACAGGGGCCCTCCCCATTTAAGGAAGGGGCCCAGCTGATGGGAAAGGGCTATGCACCCACAACAAGGGTAGGGGTAGGGGGTGAAGAGAGAGGAGAAACTATGCCTCTTCTCTTTCCTTTCTCACCCCCACATTCTCTCAGTTACCCCAACGTGGAAGGACAAGGCCCAGAGCAAATGGCCCTCACTCTTGTCATCACATCTAGCCCCAGCCAGCTGGGACACAGGACCTCATTAATCAGTCTCCATTGCACAGTAACTATGCTGGCTCCGCCACTGGATCTGGGGGCCTTCAACTCCCCCTTTCCACAGACCCTTACTGGGCACCGTGTTCCTGATCTGTACCAGGCCATCCTCTTACAAACGGTCTCATTTGATCTTTATGACAGCATGTGAAAGTAGATATTTTACAAAAAAGGAAACAGGCTCAGAGAGGTCAAGGCATTTTCCCAAGGTCACATGGCTGAAAAGGGTGAATCTGGAACTCCAGTCTGCCTTTTTGCAGCCTGATGAGAGCAGCTATCCCAGCCCTGCCTCAAATGGTTGACCCCACGGGCTGACCACAGCACCTCTGCCTAAGGAAAATAATCCATGTTGAGGTGTTAAAGGGAAAAGGAATGCCTGGCCTGGCACTGCTTACACCTGCTCTTGGAGAACCTGTCCATCTGGCTCCCTGGGCCTTCAAGGAAAATGCCATGTGGGTAATGGTCCTGGAGAGGAAAAGCAGTCACCCCCAAGGCACAACCTCTTCCTTGCTCCTGCCTGGCAGGGAGTCAGGCACCAAGCACACGGCCAGGGCTGCAAGTGGGAAACAGAGAGGGGGTCCCAGGAGGCAGCTGTGCCCTTCTTCCCACCCACTTGACCACAGGCAACTCCTTTGACTGGGCCCCTGAGAAAGACTCATCCTAAAATGTTAATATGTTCTGAAAGAGTCAGGGATCACAGGTGTCACTCATGCCCCCGGGAGTTAGGCAGTTGAGAGGAAGTGGGTCCCCTGAGAAGGGGGAGGGGAGTGCCACCCCACAGAGGCATACAGTCTCAGGGCTGCCAGGCCTCTTGATTTTCAAGAGAAGCCAAAATTCAGACTTTGTTCAGAAAATGCCCATTTTTAAATGCTGGCCACTAATTAAATTATTTTTAAGTACCGTGTGAACTGAACACTTGCCATCTCTAGCTTCTGCCCGTAGATGTTCCTATTGACCGAGGCTCAGTGGATATCAGCACAGTGTGGGCCCAGCACTTCCCAGTTCCCAGAGCCCCTTTGCTGTGGTTTGAGTATTTCATCATCTCCAAAATTCCCAGCGCTGCCATATTGAAAGGTGGGGCCTTAGGGAAGTGGTGAAGTCATGAGTGCTCTGCCCTCATGAATGGATTAGGACCTTTATAAAAGGGCTTGTGGCTGGCTGGACACAGTGGCTCATGCCTGTAATCCCAGCACATTGGGAGGCCGAGGCAGGTGGATCACTTAAGGCCAGGAGTTTGAGACCAGCCTGGCCAACATAGTGAAACCCAGTCTCTACTAAAAATACAAAAAACAGCTAGTCATGATGGTGAACACCTGTAATCCCAGCTACTTAGAAGGCTGAGGCATGAGGATCACCTGAACCTGGGAGGTGGAGGTTGCAGTGAGCCCACATGGCCCCACTGCACTCTAGCCTCGGCAACAGAGCAAGATTCGGTCTAAAACAAACAACAACAGAAAAAGGGGGGACTTGTGAGAGTTGTGGGCATGGAATCACCCTCTTTTACTCCTCTACCATGAAAAGACATCACATTCCTCCCAACCAGAGGATGCAGCCTTCAAGGTGCCACCTTGGAAGCAAAGGGCAGCTCTTATGTGGGTGGGCTCTGACCTCAGCCCAAGCCTCCTCCTGCTGCCCCAAGTCAGTGAGCTGATCCCCACTGCAGCCCAGGGAACACAGGCAAGCTCTTTCCTCCTGGGCTCCACCAGATGGAACTGTCCTGAGCACAGATGAGGACACCAGGCTGCTGCGAGCAGCAAGACGCCGGGAGCCTGGGGCAGAGGGGTACTGATTTTACTCAACTCTCCATCCTCAATAGGCCCTTTAAAAATTTTTTTTGCAACAGTCTTATTCTGTCACCAAGGCTGGAGTGTAGGGGTGTGACCATGGCTCACTGCAGCCTCCACCTCCCAGGCTCAAGCAACCCTTCCACCTCAGCCTCCTGAGTATCCAGGACTACAGGTGTGTGACATCATGTCCAGATAACCCATTTATTTCTTTTTTGAGACAGCGTCTCTCTCTGTCATCCAGGCTGGAGTGCAGTAGCGCCATCTTGGTTCACTGCAACCTCTGCCTCCCAGGTTCAAGCAATTTTCCTTCCTGAGCCTTCTGAGTAGCTTGGACTACAGGTGCATGCCACCACACCCAGCAAATTTTTATGTTTTTAGTGGAGATGGGGTTTCATCATGTTGGCCAGGCTGGTCTCAAACTCCTGACCTCAAGCGGTCTGCCCACCTCGGCCTCCCAAAGTTCTGGAATTACAGGCATGAGTCACTTCACCTAGCCTTAATTCATTCATTTTTTATAGATACAGGGTCTCACTATGTTGCCAGGGCTGGAAATGAACCTTTTTGATGGACAGTCTGTGGTGGAGCAGGGCCCTAGGCCCCAGAAAGGGCCAAATTAATCTGTAGGTAGGCTGCTAGTGACTTCGATAGTGGGAATGAATGATGGATTGATTGGATTTTCTCCATTTGGAGGTGATGCTGGCTCTGTTATGTGCAAGTCTCATTGATATTTTTAATCAAGAAATTGCTCCATTGGTGGGTTAGGCAGGGGTGGGAACTAGGCTCAGGGGCCTGAGCTCACAGAAGCTGGGGATCAGGAACCACGACACGGCTCC